TGTGTCCGAGTCAATGATGTTTTCCCAGCCAATTCGCTAAACGCTTCTGGCAGTACTGAAGAACATCGGAGAGCATAAATATGGTACCGTATGATTTTACTCTTGAAAACGGGTAAATATTCAGTTATATATTTGTTCAAAATTAAGTCATACTTTACGTAACGCTGCGGTTCAGACAAAGATATTTTTGTCACGGATGAAATTTATAATATCATAAAAGGAGAACCAAGAGTAAAATGGTCAAAGGTTACAGGTGGATGAGAGGTGTACTTTTCATGTGTCTGTCTGGCTAGTAGGCCCACAAGGTAGGTAGGTTGTCTGCAGAAGCAACAAAATGATTGCCATTGTGAGCAGTCAATCTGAGAAAACAGTAGTCGAGAGTATGGCATTATCTGAACCGTTCTCCAGGCTCTTTGACGCTTAAGTCTATCATCTTGCGACTGTGGTATGGCTGTATATGCCATAATTTATGTTCTTACGACATTCAAGGAGAACTATTAAACGAATAGACAAGTATATTCATTTAACGTTCCTGCACAAGAATGGAGCGACCTTATTGATGCTATGTCGAGTTTTCTTAAATACATTAATCGTAAACTATAGATTTGATGACTTAGTGCGCTTTTTTAAATGCGTCCCTCTTTCCGGAATTTTTCACCTTTACTGTACTACGCACGTTTTTTGGCTTCTCGTGCTGGCCTGAATCGCCTGTGTTGAGAAGAAGGTGCAAGAGTCAACTGAAAGAAGGCCCTGTCGGTTACAGGCGAAAATCTGTGTCGAAAACTACCGTTGAACGTTAGTTTACAAAGCTTCAAAACGGCTGTAAAAGGATACATTCTGACGTGAAAAACAATCCGAATTCAACAGGGATTTTTTCTAAACGCTGCTGAAGGAAGGTGACTTCGAAAAGACTCGTGAATGGGCTGGGAAAATGGGCCTTTGCCAGACGACAATAATGATTCATTCATATTAATGGTATACACGCAATGTAGCGAACCTTACTCTTCAATCTAATAGTATTAATAGGGAAGCCACTGGTGGTGTTTTGTTGTATCTTCTTCCACACGAAATTTCGCTATAAGGAGCCAATGCCCGAAAGCCTAAAGCAACTGACCCAATTCTTGTTATGCTTGCCAAAGACTAAAGTGAGGTTTTAAAGAGTATTTTTATAAGTAATCTATCCAAATAGTAAGTAGCACTTGTTCTGTGGACGTATCCCTGATTCTTATGTACAGAATTAGAGAAATTGTCGTTGAAGGTACTCAAACGAATTCCATCAGCAAATGGATGATCTTTCGAATAAAACTCGCAATTAAAGTTCTATGTTTTCAATGAAATCAACCATTCACGATGATACGATTTCTGTCCAAATTTTTAGCAATAGCTGAATTGTTCACGTAGATAAGGGCAGTTTTCGAGCATCATCAGATGGTACCGTTTCCGTAAAAACCAAGGTATCACAGACCGACGCGTGATTTGCAGCAAACGGATATCGCCATACTTTGCGTTAGCAAGCTATACGACAGCAGACGAGGTCATGTAGGAAATGTGTCGAAATGGAACATTGTACTTAGAACATCGTAATAGCTATTGCACTTTACAATCAAATCCCTATGTATTCTAATAAAACGATGCATTCTAGATGGCGCTCGATCATCGCTATGGAGTACTCCAACATAGGCAATTTAGACTCACCTAACGTTAAGGCATGTATCTACCTAGCATACCAGCATCGAAATCAAAGGTCATTGGTTGTCCTAGTGAAATTTTATAGCCAGGTAGTATTTGGACAACGCTACGAGTGGTTAACTGCAATGAATACGTGTTCAATTCGCGTTTACTCAACACGCATTCAGTAGACCGGCAAGCCTGCCGGAAGTTGTAAAATTTCAGTTATTTATTATTTGTCTCCAATACAACAGTCGAGCAAGGAATAGGAGGAAAAATAAAAACTAATTATCTACTACACACACAAAAACAACAACCATTAAAGGCAATTGTAGACCTAGGACGAGACGAAACACTACAGCCTGAATAGCGGCGGTCGTGCTTTGTTATAATTACTACTTTGTTGTTTACTAGCGGTACATTACTGATCACGGAGATTAGGAGGCAGAGGACTTTTATTGATTTCGGTACTTACAGTTTCTGTAACTAGAGGAATAGACAAGTGGCCGGAGTCTTATTAAGATTAATGGTCTTCAGTCATAATGTTTCTTCTTGCTAATAGTAGCAACATTTATCTTTTAAGTGGATTTTTTGTTCGTACTATACCATGTAGAAGGTTTGAGGCGAAGTGCAGCAAAACATATATACATACGCACATAATCGGTAAAGGGTAAAGCAGTCATATTAAACAGTTCAGCCTTATTAAGCGTCTGCTGGAACTCCGTACGACTGCAATTCCTATAGCATCCTTTGCAGTTTTATTTAATTTGTCCTGTGTCAATGCATTTTGAAGGTCCTATATACAGTTTACCGCACTAACTGAGAAAAAAAAATCGAAATTTATTTTATTTTAACAGAGTATTTTAACAGAGCTTAAGCCGAAACACCCAAAAGTGTGCGCCCGATTCAAATAGACCGATAAAGAAACGAGAACTCACGTTTTTTTATAAAACTTAGGAATTCTTGTAGTCATAGAATCAACCCATTTTAGCATTCTGTGTGCGGTTACATAAAAACAGTATTTTTCATTTCGAAATCAAAAAGAATTACTGCAAAGAGTCGTATCGGCCAATCAGTAACTTTCCACTTTTGGATTCACTAATCGTCACACGCTCCGGTTATCCGCTCTCATAGACCGAGTTGTTACAAATTAGCTAGAAAATAATTGCTGAATGCAATGGGGGTATATGCTGCAACACACTTAGCATGCATTCAATTGACTTGGTCCTTTCTAGCCACTACAAAAGTAAATCAGGACGTAGTTGACTGAATCATAATTGTATCAGTAATCGATAAACTATGATAAACATACTACATATCCATACTTAATCCAAGACGTTAAGTTTTTATCAGTCTCTAGATAATTTAGCTGAATGTCAAATTTTCAACGTTAGATAGTCTTTGTTTACGCCCAGTCAGCTGTGGCAAGTACTGATTTTGCCAAATCACTCAAATACGCTGAAATTATGTCTTTACCAACCTTCCGACGAAATCAACCCTTCATGACCATCTTCTACGTGGTAACATTAAAAAAAAAATTCTAAAGGAACTGTACACTTATTTTATTGAAGCGGCCATTACCTTTAGAAATATTTTGTGCGAGCACTCACCGCTGCCACTTTTTGATATACAAGTTCACCTGGAATATTTTCTAACTACTCTTGACACCGCCTCAACTCAGAAACTGTATGGGAAGCTGTTTTGGTTTATCTGTGTCAAAGCTTCTCATAAGATTCAAACTCTACATAGAAAAGAAAGGCTCGCAATTTAAGGTTATAAGAAATAATACTGCAATATATGTGTAGAAATGATACACGCATATTGCCTAATTCGAATTGTTTAGACTAGACGTCTTGACAATGGGGAAAAACAGTAGACCTTCTCGCTTAAAAAAACTAGGGGCCAAATAGTAGGCTTTAGATTCTATTGGTTCGTTCATAAACGCAATTGACGTGTCGCATATGGCCTTTACTCAGCCTTGCGAAATAATTTGACGTTACCCGCCCTAGAAGTTTTCACATTAGAACTTCTAGTTAAGAGGCTATTAAGTCTCCTAATACGATCATAGGCAGCTATTACGAAGGACAGTTGTGATTTTTATCAATCACCTCGTTTTGACAAATTTTAAATGAAGGTAAAAGATTAACAAAGGTGACAAACCCGGTCATTTCAAATTTTCCTGCGCGTACGGTTTGTTTATCTGAAGATTTCACCTTTGAAAAAAAAAAAAAAATATATATATATATATAACCTGTTTCTGCTAATCTGAGCTTCACAATACTGTGAATCAATATAAAGCAAGTGTAGCATATCTACTGCGCCTATCGTAAGCTGGATCGCTGTGAGTGCTACTTGGCATTGTCGCTAGACGTAAGTTTAACGCGAAATAGGCCAGTTAGGATTTGCCATTGGATTGCCATTAACTCTAAGTCCATTTCCGTTTGTGAGTGCGTGTTTATTGTGAGACCTAGCTTTAGTCCACATGTGACGGGAATCGTAATTGTAGGTGCTTGTAAGGATGCTCTACCAATTTCGCTAACAAAGTCTCCGATACTCTTTAGTAGGATAACATGGATTTTGTGTAGGTTAACAATTGGATGTCCATTGTTCTGTAACGTGTAAAGAATCAATCGATCAGTCTAAGAGACATTATAAGAATGCTTTCCAAATGTTCCTTCGATTAATGGAAAAGCTTACTATATAATCACATCGGCGTACCCCAAAATACTATGGTGAAATTGGGTAGACTAACTGCTATGGGCGAAAATTCGTATAGACATTCGATATATTCTGTCCTGAAAGATCGAGGCATACACGCATTTGTTTGTTTAAGTCACCCTGGCAGCTTCTGTCATATTCAGGTAATTGAATGATCTAAATTATATGCGGCGCTTGGCTTCCTTCGAATAACTGACAGGTAACGACGTTAGCGCTCGGTCGTCCACCGAACTTACCATTGGTATATCATGGGTGAAATTCGTCCTAGCATCTAACCTTGTTACAAATTATACAAGTTTCTAACGGAGCAGACAAACAGGTAAAAAGTGACCGTCCGTACATAGATGGAATACTTTTTCATTTTACGGGCAGTTCTTCAGGTGGATGAAATAGCGAGTGCTTTGATCCACACTAATGTGTAGCCTGCTCTCAACAATAGATCGTTTGAATATCTTTCCTTAATAGCTATATGTTAGGACTGTCCTAGAAAACGGAAAAAACTTGAGATAGGTAATCAACGATGCCACCTCTATCCGACTAGACGGTGCGTCCCGTAAGTGCGCACTAGCTCGATTGATTAACTTATTACTACCGGCTGACCAAACTGCTTGCAGCGCAGATAACGGCGAACCCCCGGATCGTTGCCACAAGGACAGCGAAACCACTAGCGTCAACGACGAGTCCGTTACCCGACTATGGGCAAGCGAACCCTCCAGTCCTTGTGCGGCGCCTCTGAAGTGTCTTCTGATCAGACGCTTTGGAAGTGTCTTCTCGCTGAGTTTATAGGAACGGCCATTCTAGGTAAGTGCGGATAAGACCTATATTTATACGCATAGGTTTAGAAATTAACTGCTTACTAATTATCATAGTATAATTTATGTAACGAAAATCGGGTAGCACACTCGCGACATCAGGAGTAACATCTAAACTAGCTCCGCCAAAGTGGTATATAGCCGCATCATTGAAAGCTCCTTCCAAAGACTTATTTTTGGGACTGGAACTATACAACGAATAGAAGGTTTAGCATGATTAGCACAGATCTATTATGTCTATCTAATCTTACATCACAGTAACTTAGTAATATGCATACAGTATCGAAACCAGTAAGCCAAACATCTAAAACGATTTGTTCTATAAGCCGCAATTTTTTTAGAATTATAGAATAATCACTGAATTACATGTTTTCCAATGTCGTGTTGCGAACTTGTACTGTGCTATGAATTTTTTTTTTCCAGCTAGACTGGTTATAAGCTTCTTCGACTCATGTGCCAACGATTCCGAGAAAGCATCTGCTAGGGCAGCTAAAAATCGTTTAAAGATCAGTTCTGTAATAGATGCATCCACAATGGCGACAATTCGACAATTAATAGTTTTCTGTGGAAGTGCCGTACCAAACCATTTTTTAACGTAATTCGTCGTAACAATTTCGTGCCACTGGCCAACACTGAACAAATATGCCACTGGCCTAGTTTAGTAGGCCGTTGCTGAGTTACCAACAGCTAGCATGTAGGCTGTCATCATAATAGTGATACCGTGTGCCTTTGCTGACCGAGCGCATGTAGAGATAGATTTATATTTGTGAGCTACGTTCATCCAATATGCTAACGGATAGGACCATGTGGCACCGTGGCACAAATGTTAGATATTCGATAATATAATTATTTTGTACCTGTAGTGTTTTACAGGTACATATTGTTTTATTAGCCAGTTGCGCCCTACGAGAAACGACATTATCTTATATATTATATCGTTACACTAAGGCAGTCGATTGTATTGGGGTTTATATTGAGGGGAGGTAATAAGCAAAGATATTGCATAAAAAATGGACAGAAAAACACGTTTTCAATAATATGAAAATGGTTGATACTTCGACAAGGCATTAGATAATGGTGATATTGTATTCAAAAATTAAGGAAACCTTTGTGTGAATACCAACAAATAAAATTTAGGCTTTACGGTGAGCGTTTTGAGTAAGCACCCCACCGTATACATTCTTTCACTATGTTTCTAAAGAAGAGCAGTTATATACGCAAAATTCACAGCCAAGCTCGGGTCAATCATGGTTGAATAGTACCTTTTCAGGTCGTTCTAAACAACAATGGTGACTAGCAGGCCGTCTCTGTACGATGCACAGTGTAAAATCGAACAATCAAATGTAAGATGTAGCGCAGAAAAGGCGCGAACTTACGCTGAACGTAAGTCGGATATTGGAATAGCGTTTTCGTGTAGGAACTGGATGGCTTGATTGAATGCGTCGCATAGACACTTCTTAAATTTATCATTTCTCTGTGAAGCCGTACGTAGGCGTCTTGACGTTCTATGTCAGATATAAAGAAAGACGGGCGTTTCTCGAAGTCTTAGGGGCAATCCAACGGATTATGTAGGAAATACGTAATACATGTTTCTATTTCAAACGCACGACGATGTCCAAATCATTCTGTAGCAAAAAAATATTTCAATAATGCATGCGTAAGCTGAATCAATCCAGCAGAAGAAAGGGCTTCATGAAACTGCCTTTTTTCGAAGAAGTACTCATACAGTTTACATTAGGCAAAACATTAAATCGCCAGATGTTCGCTCGGATCCGCTCTTATGAGAAAATTTAAACTGGGATGAATGTATAATTACAAGATAATAACACGTTTGGCATCATCAAACGAAGAGCTGGGTATTAGAGGCTTCATACAAAAAAGAGAAGCGCCTATCGATCGATAAAATGACTCTAATCATACAATAATTGCCACCCGCCCACGCTTTTAGGAAGTCTTAATTTAATTCTTTTCTACATTATAGCAGAAGCAAGTAATAACAACTTTGACCTGCACTAGCTGCCTTAGTCAGAATCAGTAAAACGGCGCTTAACTACTCCAGCTTACAGCATAAAGAACCAAAGACAAATATTATTGGGCCTCATTATATTTTATGTTTACATTGCCTATAATAATAATAATAATTATTATTATCTATGTCAGTGACGTGATATTTATCTATCCAGTTGCTGTGGATTAGTGGGAGAACTTCTACTAACTCCGCTAGAAACCGACCAGCTGCGTTCATCGTCAGAGTCCTTAAGTTATTCTCAATCTCCTCTTTTCGACATATAAGGCAATTGTAAACAATGTTACACGCGGTGCCAAACAAAAGCGTCGTTATCACCGCCATCGCACACCGGAATCAAATCTGCATTGAACTTTGATCGGAACTTTTTTCAGCTTAGATATTTTCGACAACTACATGAGGTCTTCCATGACGTACGTTCCAGCTCGTTCTTAAGTAAAGTATTTTGTTCTTTTCGAAACAGTAAAACGTAGTAGACCTAGAATATATCCGAAATTTGTTTGTGTAAATAAGGTTTTAAGCCAGACAAATTAATAGGGAAGTCGTGTATGAGGAACCCGGGCAAGTTCAATAGTGAAAATATACATTTTCGATTTAATAGTCGCCTAACGAGAATGCAGATTAGACCGAACATGTAGGAGGGGAGAACTTGTGCGCAGGTCCAGTGAGATGCAGATTACGGTGTTTGTCCTAATGAATAAATCCATTGCTGATAAGACGAACGTTAATTCCGTAGGCACCTCACACGCGAACTGTGGATCACCCGCATTGTCTACAACCCGGACAGACCTTCTATTGTTGGAATAATCTTATCGTTTCTAGATCGTTTTCGGCCGGTGATCAGAGTTGTCATCAGCTTATATCATAGTTAAAAGCAATCATTTGGTCAAGACAAATGATCTAACTAGAAATTGTGTCAATTAATGTAATACTAGCGTTGTCCGATTACAAGAACTCTGATAATTCGTAAAAATGTGTTGATGATTTTACTTTGTCATTATTCATTGTTTAAGCACTCGTTGGAGGACTGGGGGCTTCTCAGGGTGAGTTAATTGATGATTCATTCATGATCCGACTGATATAAACAATGTAGAATCGTAGTACAAAGATATTTCTCTGAGAAATACGATGCATATGTCGCATGTAGGATACAATACAATTGTATTTATTGTCTGTTTCAGCTGGATTAATTCAGCTTAGGCACGCATTGCTAAGGCATTTTAGCCATAAAACAATTTGGCCTCATCGTGCAGCTGCACTGGAGGCAAATCAATGGTCATTAGGAACGCAGGTGTGAACTTTACGGCTGAAAGCAGTTTATATATACGGATGTTACTAGCACTGGTCATAATAAGGGTGGTAGAGGGCATAATTTACTAAATATGATGAACGAAATTTAATAACAACGAACAGTGTTCGAAAAAAGATCTAAAATTCCTGATCTCAAAAGATCTCTATTTTATGTCGAATGACTTCCGTATCTACTTACCTGCCTGCTTTCTTTGATTAACGCTATATGGGCGGTCCGTCTAAACCTCGAGGTCTATCCAGACTACGTTTCTCTTCATGATCCCCGAGATGAGCTTCACGAAGAAGTGCAATCAAGTTACATCAATGCAGCAGCTGTCTTCTACGACGCCCACAAACATAATGATGATAATAACACCATAAACATAGTGTTTACAAATGTTGCCGCTTGCTACGCTGTAAATAGTCGACTTCTGTTTGGAAAAAATAAATCGTTTGGATAATGTTGTTTTTATCATCATTCATCCTTTTCATTTCGATCACTCCTTCTATGCGAGTTAGTTGCCGAGATGCCTGAATTCGCTTAACGCGTTAGGTAGGATGCGACCATAGAAGCCTAGCAACTATGCTAGCTATACGGAGTAATGTGTCATGTTGAAACTAGCCTGACGTAGAAACGTTACTACATAGTTTGGCACATTTGCATATTGGTCAAGCTTTTTAATTAGCCCTACAATTACTACTACAGGGTTTGTCTGACGTCCCCTTTCCTGCACATCCTTTTGTACCGTTACGTACTAAATAGAATTAAATTAAATAGTGAAGAACACGTGTCGGCCCATACAGACCCCCCAGATACGATACAACCAGGCAGCAGTAGCAGTATCAAATACTAAAAAAATCAATTTAAGTTCGATGAACCCTCATAGATTTGTATATTAGAAACTAGTGTTCGTTCATGATAACATTAGAATAACTATGTTTTTATAATAAAAAAATATATATAAACAGTAAACATGACTAGCAACTATGTCTCTATACGCTTCACATATATATCTGGCGGCAGCTGAGCGTCTCGGTTACATACATTCGGTTTTCAGTTTATATTATCATAATATAATCGGTAAATTTATGTCAAAAACATATACACAAAAATTTATGGCCAGTAGTTTCAAGGCTGAATATACTTCGCGTCAATGAAAAATATATTCCGTTTCAACTCAAAACGAAACTTATAAAAGTTCAAGTTCACGCACGATTAGTAAATGTACGAGGAAACATAAATGCAACACGGAAGCTGACTTAGTTGGGCACGTAAATGCTGATTGAAAGATGAAATTTTTTTTCTAAAAGTTCAAAGACATTCGAATTAGTTGACAGCGTGTTCAAAAATCAAGCTGCTATTTTATTGCAGTGAAAAAAATAGTACTGGAGTGTAAACAAGTGCACTCTAGCAGTAAGGGCCTTAGACTGTATTATGACCATTTTGTCTAGCTAGAAAATGCTGCGTTTGAATACACAGTTGGGGTAGGACATCTTTAGACGTTCCACATTTTTATCACCAATAATAACTATAAGGATCCATTATGCGTCGCATATTTGGCGAAAGGCGGAATAAGGGGTCATGACACTCGTATAATACGATATCAGACATCGGACAGTGTCATATAATACTGTCAAATACTCCTTCGCCCATTCTGTCTGACGCGGTTAAAGGCAACGAAGTTGCCCTTATTTAGTCGGTCGAATATTTGTGCAGGATATAGCTGAGTCCTTCGCTTAGCTTCGCTAGAATTATGAGAGAGACTTCTGACTGCTGCTGCTGCTGCTGCTGTTACAACCTTATATAGCTTGCATTGTTTTATTCAGATTAGATCAATTTAGCGGTTGCTAGTTTCTCCATCGGTGGATCAGGCATTCGAAGGTAAACCCATCTACATTGTGTGACAATAGGGCGGACACCGACAATTCTCAGGATGCATGTAAATTTAGAATAGCTGTTATGCTGTCTTATACGGGGTCTTATAATGGATTTCTCTTTCGGCACTGGTTGAAACTAGAAGATAGCATAGGCTGAATGATAAAACTCTGTCTATAAAAGCTGGTTAATTTATCTGATATTAAAAAATCTAGCAAATACATTTTTGTAACAACTATTAGTTTTGTGAATTTGTTGGACATATAAGGACACACTATAAAAGGCCTTATCTCCGGACAGATTTTCAAAAAATACTTGAACAATTTTTTTTTTATAAGAAAACGATGTTAACATACGCTTGCGATGTTAACTTCGCTAATGATGTTAGCTTCGATTAGCGCTGTGAGAGCGTCCTCTTCTATAACAGAATGTTCCACTATGCAAAACCTGCTTACAAGTGGTACTTTAGTTTAGATCGTAGGGCCCATTGATTTAGGTTAGAAAGAAACGTCAATTAATGTTGACAATAGCGAAGATTGATTTTCTGTGGGTCATCGGAAAATCAACTTCTATTGGATGACGACTAAATACGGTTTTTCGATTTAAAAGGTCCTATCTGTAGGGGTCCGAATAATAAAAACTTATCATGCTTCACCGTCTTGCATTAATTAGCTCCCCGAGCTTGTCTCCGCAGGATCTTTCAAGTAATAAGTCATTTTGAAGTCCCTTATAGGATTTGATTACTTCTAAGAAACCAATGCAAGGTTTCGTTGTTTCGTTCTGTTGATAATCAGAGTCCTCGTTAGCTATAGTAATATCGACGATCGTAGCACTTTTATGGGCCGATTTATATCTCTACATTTCTTTTTATTGACTAGCTAGAAAGTTCATAGCGAAGAAGTTCTGCACCAATCATGAATATGGTATAAGACAACCGCCAGAGATTTCGCTTTATGAAATACAGAACTTGATCCTAACAAAGAACTAGCTATCGTCTTTTTTTTACAAGGTTTTATAGGTCTTGTTTTGAAGACAGTACTACTGCTCATACTTTTTACTTAGGATAGTTCTACTTAGGATAACGACATAAATCTGTCATGTTATCCTAGTTTCCGGATATTAATGCGGTTAGCATAATTAACTATTAATAGTGATTTTCAGTTCTCATCGCGTGTGGGTCGTGTTTTAACCGAGTTGACGCTTCGGGTCCTGATAATGTCATAAAAATAGCATTGGGTTTCGGCTTGACAGTTGCTTCGGTTGCACAAGCCGTTGGTCATGTTTCGGGAGGACACTTAAACCCTTGTGTGACTGCGGGCATGCTCGTAACAGGAAACATTTCATTCGTAAAGGGCTTTTTTTACGTCGCTTCGCAATGCATCGGAGCCATTACTGGTAAGTTGATTCTTCAACAACACCATTGCTGGTCGCTTGTTATTATTACTGATTTTGTTGTTAACCATGAGGTGCCCGATAGGTAATATTGTATTATAAAAACAACATGAATGACAAGAACATAGAAATGAAATCTATTCACATACAGAAACATTAAGATTCAATGTTCTTCGACCTTTTTTTTTCGATATTTCATCTGCCATTTTATATGATAGGGTTATAAAATACTATATGTACTAATATCTGTATAAAATCAATATTCTATTTCTAACATCATGAAATTTCGAAGGGCGACGCGCTATCCTATGAGTATGGTGGACTAAGAATATAGTATATATATCGTCCAGATGTTACCAACAAGGATGCTTGGATTAACCTATAGTGACTCTTGCTAATTCTAGGTGCAGCAATACTCCAAGCGTTAACGCCTGCCGGCTTCCAGCTTGGTAACACTACATTAGGTAAGAATATTACACCCCTGATGGGCTTCTTCATCGAGGCTGCCATTTCATTCGTACTCGTCCTGACCGTGTTCGGGGCAACCGATACCAATCGGCTGGACGTTCTCGGCTCCGTTCCCCTCGCGATTGGACTTTCTATCACCGTTTGCCATCTGTTTGCTGTACGTAGTACTCCAGCGATGCGGTCCTTCGCATCGGTTGAAGCGTAGAGTTGTCGTCTCCAACTTCAGCATCATTCCCGATTCTAAATTAACCACTATTAGAGACCGGCTTTTCGCTCATGTAAAACGGTCAGCCAAATACTAAAAAGCATTTATCTTTCAACAGAATATGAGTTACTGTTTAAAAAAATCAATTAGAATTTCTATTTAGGCTTAGGATATTTCAAATTAATAGCATAAGTCGTATACGGTCCACAACTATAAGGGTTAACTAAGAATAACTGATTGTTCTTACGCAGGTGCCATTAACTGGTTCCAGCATGAATCCGGCTCGGACATTCGGACCCGCTCTGATACTGCAGGACTTCACGAATCACCACGTATGTTGCTCCAATACAATTACTCATGCAAATAGATGGGGTTATAGAAAACGAATCACGTAGACGGGTTTCTAACGGAACCTATTGAGTTCTTTTACTCGCTTCACATTTTTAGTGTGTTCTTCAAATGAGAGCGCAACTACTAATCGAAACCCAGAGAAATTTGCTATATGCCTAATGTGCACGGAGATGCATCCTAAATAACGTATTACGTACATCGACAGCCGGTAGCGTATATTTCATGTTTGGCGCAGATTTTACTTCGTACTTGCAGATCTGGTAACTCCTCGTTATGTTTACCGTATATTTACTTTTACGAATAGGGATAAGTTCACACGGTCACAGGTCTTTATCGCGGTAAACCTCATGAAATACATGTTTAAATTGCTTATTCTATTAAAGTTAGGAAATCCTGAACATTATTTCCTGTAAAGACGTCTTTAGCTTGTAGATTCGACCACGAAATATTGACACAGCTACGACTGCTAAAAAAATGTATAGAGCGAATTTATCGCCCCGTTCACCTTATCGATTTAACTGAAGAATAATGTTTTACCTTGAGTTCAGTTATCGCTAAGAAGTATAATTTATACATCTTCGCTCACTTAGACCACTTTGAATTTGGCGCGAGTTCACCTCAAAATGTCTTAAGTTACCGAACCAATCTAGATCAGACATTTATTTTACATTTTACTATTGCGGGTCACCCTCTTTGTGCAAATGTACTTGCAGATCTACTGGCTGGGCCCACTACTTGGGGGCGTCGCTGCAGGTCTGATTTATCGCTACGCCTTCCGCGCCCCCAAGCCTAACGTGGACGATCTGGAACGTGCCGTCCGTCTGTGCTCTTTGGCCAAGATGAGCGGAAAAGAGCCCGACGGTGGGGTCACTTCTTTCTAAAGCTACTTGTAACTAACTTCCGTCCGCTACACATCGAAATATCCGGACGACTGTGCCTTCAACTGCGTTTATTTATCATAATCAACGAGATATGAAGGCCAATAAATAGAATTTCAAGTATGCCTCTCGACTCAATTAGTCAAATTAGTTGGTGTTTTGCTCATATCATTGCTTGCTAACTATCAACATAACATTAATATATGCCTTATACTTTGCAATGAGGTCACAAAGAAGATTTTATGTCTCCGTAAAAACTTGCTTGCCATCAATTCGCTGACGAGACCAGTGAACCCTCAATGGCCTCAATTGGGATTTCAATCACAATTTACGCTTCTTGTTTTTATGTCGTAATAAGCATTTCTTAAAAGATGAAGTTATATTTAATTATCGAATTTATGCGTGTGTCCGAAACGAATGCAGGCAACATAAGGCTTATTAAGGACAGAAGTTATCTCGATGCGTACTTGTCCGCATTTCTATTTCAGAAATGCTTCTGATTGGCTGAAATGTAAATCCTTTCTTTAATATTGGTCGAATCAATAATGTAAGCATATAATTGACTTAATAAGATGGCTTTATTAAATTGACTTTTTGTAAAAAAGCCATTTGGGTGGTTGTCAAAGAAATTTTTTGCATCTGAGGCAAACTTTGGAACGTGCAAGTTATTTAATAATTTCAAGGATGTCCGACAATTGTCTATCACATTTTTTTGACCTCTTTACATCTTAAAATGTTGTCATCTTTATTGTTATTGTAATTAATGTCATATTTATAAGCAGAGGTTAACCCAATAGCCTTTCCTTTTGGTCAAGTTCCTTTTAGGTGGTCCGTAAAATCTATCGGTTGAAGCCTCCGAGCCTATATACTCGAGCGTTATCTGTCTTCTGCTTACTTAAGAGTAAATTACAAACATTTCAGTGAGTGTTCCTGTAGCAGGATCGAAATCAGATCAGACATGTTTCAGTACGAGTAGCTTGTACTAAAGTTGTAACAAATATGGGAAAACTGAAGTAAATGATAAATAAATAAATAAATAAATAAATACTTCTAGGAAGTAAAATGTGAAAAAAAGTTCCGCGACAATTCTCAGATGACTTCCACATTGCCTACGTAGTTCGGAATAGGTACTAATTATACATTATTTATTATTACTACAATTATTATATATGGTTTTATTCACAATTACGTTATGATCAACCGTTTACTGTACTGTGGCATTTTCCATTGCGAAAATCAAACGTTTCGGCATATATTCGTGATGGTTTGTTCGTACATCGTTTGAATGTATTGAATTGTGCTGGCACGTAAAACGTAGGATTTGCGCGAGTACAAAAGGAGAAGTAGAATACTGTCAGGATGAAAAAAAAAAACGTTACTTTGGCAATTGTGTACGAAAAGTTAACTATATATATAAAGCGAGGATATTGTCATCCAATGGCTACTGCTTCGCTTGCGATGTCTGAGTAAACTAAACATGGATCGTTATCCTCCGTATCAATCTCTATTCCACTGTTATCATTACTATACGAGACAACGGCAGTTAGTTGATTACCAGCTGCTTTTTCATGACCTGCAAAGTTTCTTGCTTATTACTACAAAATTTACTAGATAGAATGTACTTGGGTAGAAAAACACTGAGTGAGCTTTTTAGATATAATCGATACAAATGCAAAATAAAAAAGCACATAGTACATTAATTGTTTTGTTAGCCTTTATTATGAATGGAACTTGTGGGTACGATAAGTAGGCACGAAATATTGCACTATAGTCAAGCTGATAAGCTGCCTAGTACTCGTGTGATTCATCTGCTATACATAGGCGTTTCATATATTGTTCGGAGCTTGAAAGATCTTTTTTGATAGGACATCACCGCTAACAGGTGTCAAGCATTTTCTTAATACGTTCGATGTGAAATCCTGCCGTGCAATTTTTTTTAACATGACCAGCACGCAAGTACGGCCATTGTGTAAAATATATACTAGAATCCACCAACACACTTCAATCATAGCAATATGACGTAGTTCCTGTTCGCAACAGTGTGAAGACATCAAAAACTTTGCTTTTCAACACTTCCAAATTACATGCTGATCCTTTTCTTTTGATTATTTCTTTTTTAGTTACAAAGGTTAACTCCCCGCTTACTAATCTGTGTTCCGTCCTGCGATGAAAGGCAACGGACCAGGCCGGCCTAATAAAGGTGTCTTCATTTTTTTTTATCGCACGATTGGTGACCTCAAGCCGTATCTAGTGAAGTACAACATCGTTGCATTACATGGCCAGCAAATAAGTCCCCGCAGCGCATGGCTCGGCTTCAAAGTATGAACTGCTGGGGAAACTCGTGACTGAGTTCGAAACACTGTCCCCCCCCCCCTCTCTGGTTGTCTGCGATTTCAACGCCCACCTCGATCAGTCACAATATGGGTTTTTAAGACACGCTCGCGAGCGTTGGCTAGTTATAGCCAATTTTCTCTTGACACAGACTTACCTAGAGTATGCAGGAGTTCGATTACCGATATATTCATGATGAACGTAACCAGGGATAGAGCAAAGTTTCGAGGGCGCAAGCATTCGTGCACACATATCGATCGTGATAGGCCGCACTGCTAAGTTCCGTTGTGATGCCCAGTTGTAGAGGACTTCCTAGAACGCACCCACAAAGTTTCTCATGTACCTAGCAGCATTCGATTAAGGTTCTCCAGTTTACAATACAACCTTCCCGTCCTTCCCGAAAGCATAGGCCATAGTTTAGCTATAGTTGCAGCCTTGCCCGGAGAACCCAGAAAGCCTTCAAGTTTATGGCAGAGATACAGCCCAAGTTCTACTCTTTACTCTCAGTTCTTAAAATTCATCAAAAAAGGTGTGCGCCATAAATGTAACAACACCTTGAATGACTAGAGACTCGTTTCATTGCTGATGCAGAACGTCAATCATACGAATGGCTAATGCATTACGCCAGTTCTGCGGCCTGCCCGATTAGCTCCCTCGATCTCATAAATCGCTTCTCGGTGACGTTTGCGTCAAAGGATACGATACCACACACGGTAGTCTTTTTGTCACGGCATGGGAAAAGACGATCTCAATATGACGCGATATGCTTCAGCAAGATTTCACTGTGCGGAAACTAGAATAAGCCCTTGCAATTTTCGCAACAAGAAAGCCGCGGATCCAGCTAAGGTCTGCAACGGAAGTCTTAAGTGCGCCGTCGTTTTGGCATCGTTTTAATTGCACTATTTGATATTTGTTTCTTACCATCACACTCTTAGTTCAGAGAAAAAAAACACTAACTCGTTAGCCCTTTCTAAGAGAAAGGTCGACCCAATCGTGTCGCTATCATGGCAGGGAAGAACGAAAAAACGCGCCTGTTCGAATCTACTCTCCGGTTTACTGGTCAAGGAACTAAACAGCTTCTTATAATACGTATACACCATTACCACGAAGCGATATGGCTTCCGGAAAGAACGCTCGAGAGAAGCGGCGACGGTTGACGTCAAGAGTGCATGCTGCGCAATCCGCTGTACGCGGCGTTTATTGACTTCAGGGCAGCCTTCCACCTGTTTGACTTCCAAGGTAGCCCCGATCACGATGCAGAGCCTACACTTAATTTGGAAAGATCTTACGGTGTAGAAACTCTGTCACTTAAATAGCATGAAAGGCTCTTTTTCTAAAACACCGCTGGAACTACTATATAACGATCCCGAATCACCTTACGCCTCTCCAAGTCCACTCGCCACTGTTTTCCAAGAGCCTACGTCGTAGCTTTTATTTCCCACCAACAGAAGCTTTATGGGGGAAAAGTAGGAGCAAAATTTCGTAAAAATTGACAAGGATTGCTTAGTTTTCGATGTAGTAGTGTACAATGAGTGGAAAGAGAGGAATTGTTATTATTCGCTTTGCGGTGCGTGAGTTCCACGATAGAATCTGTAGGAAACCAAGTTTTGACGATCCTGTTAATATATGTAGGTGATTCAGATAAGAAGAAAATTGTGATAGGTATTATGCCGCTCGCTTCTCCCTAATACCACCTTTAGGTGGTACGGCAAAGTTCTCAGATTAGTTTTATAAGCTACGCATCGTGTGGGATATATGAGTCATATCAAGTCATACGATGCAAAGTTTTTTTATGATTTTATGAGCTCTGAGCCTGAAAGTCTAGATATACAGGCCAATACTACGACTGCTGCCAGCAAAGATAAATTTTGATTAACCAAAATTTTTAAGTTCCAAATGGCATCTATTAATGATTCTAATTTTTCTACCTAATAATTAATCAATATTGAGTTTTATCGCGTCTTCATTTATGGGGTCTGCAGTAAAATTACGAATACGTCGCGTGATGATTAGTGTGAATCTAGTAGCCAAATATCCACATTAATCATTAGGAATAAATTCGTATAACTTAACGAACGGTTACGGAATCTTGTGATGATTCAGTTGGCATGTCCTGAACGATGGGGGCTGCGTCTATCGACATGTAGAAACTTCTTGCTTTTCATGTAGAAGAGGTTTGAAGTGGGCCTATAACATCGTTAAGTTCTGAGAGTAACCAGATGTTTCCATCGAATGTAAACATTGTTGATTACTACTTGTGTCCAAATAGAAGAACTTGTTTAATTGAAAATGGTTAGTGTTTGGTCAATCCTTAGCTAAGCATTTCCAGCAGTGTCTCACCTCAGTGCTTCAGTGTAAAACACAATAGCACCACCAATTCGATTTCGAGTTTTCGAAATCGAATTGGTGGTCGAGGAATGACATAAAGTATAGAAAAAAAACATTTTATCTTCTTTCACTAAAGACGATGATAGATTGTTAGCTCATTGCACAATAATCACCCTTCTTTTGTTGGCATTTTGCCACCGCTGCTGCTTAAAAACCATGTGTTAATTACTCACGTAAAGCGATTACACTAAAATAATATATGATATAATCATTTATTTCTTCACTTGGTAAATTCATACTTAAATATTTATAAGTATTAATAATAAAAAATATAAACATTTATAATATATATATATATATCACATTGACTTTTCTGCCCAGGCAGATCTCTAGACCAAACAGATCGGATGCATCCGTTCAAGCACCTACCACACTGGCTAAATTGGTATTTAGTTCTGGATTTCTGGTCCGTGAGCACCTCATATTGTCCATTCACTATCCTCATTCGATATAAACAGCTCCCTTAAAACTAATTAACAGAGGAATCGTCAGCAGTAGGAGGTGACCCTGTACGAACGTCACATCTCAGACATTATCCTAATGACGTTCCTCAATCACTTGTTGTGATACACGTAAATTACTGTTCACCTTCCCCATGCAGTGACACGTTAATATTTCCGAGCAGAACCCATTTTTGTATCCGTTTACTGTACAATACGTTACACAAGCTGTATTTCCGTAAAAACATTTTTGCATGTAACGCCTCACTGGAAGAACTTCACCGCCACGTCTAGCCGCTGTAACGAGAACGAATCATTGTTATTATTAAAGTTGTGCTAAATGCTCCATTGCCTAAAGAATCAAATCGCAGAAATACTCACAAATATATCAAACTTATACCTAAAAGCACGACGGGAACTATCATGATAAGAACCTAGCAAACGCTAGTTTCAACCCCGCCTTGTCACGTACTCTTCCGTTTGAAGTTGTACGTTTCTGTGCGCACCGTCGCATCACTCACTCGTCATCCACTCGCGCTTGTGTGCAATTCCGTGAATCTATTTTCATACTGTTATTATTTAGAACTTTAACAACGATCATGTTACATGCACAGTGGGGGAAAAAAACAAGATCGAATCTGTATGTATGTTCAGTCGAATTAGGCAAAAATCAGAAAATCATTGTGCATATCTTGAGCCTAGGTGGTGGTATCTATAGCATATAAGACTTACGCGCTGAATGAGGCACAACAACAAGCGCCATCAGGAGGAATAGAACAATCACGGCTACGTGCTTCGTCTTCATCATGGCGCCAGGTGACCAAGCTTGCAGACGACTAACGACTTGACTCTCGTCGAACCTGGTTATAACCTGATATTGTGCACGGTCTTTACTTATACGCATTAAGAGTATAAATATCGTTTTCGAAGTTATGCGTTAATCAATGAAGTCTATATAATCTTTTGATTAGAGCACATAATTTCACAGCAGCTTTATA